CAAAGGCTTCTGTGAGCATCCCAAGGGTGAATTTGATAATAACCATGTGCAGCTGGAACCCGTATATCGCCAAAACCGTGAAATTGTTACACGTTTCTCACACCAGATTCTTACCGCGCGTGTCATTATTTTCGAATGGTTCTTAACAACATACTGTACCGTTTGGCAGGATAAAGATAAAGACCCTAACAAGGCCAAGCTACACTGGTTGTCATTGCAATTGAATTCCCGAGGAATTTTGGAATGCGATGTATTCAAGGATCTGGCAAAGATCCTCGATGATACTAGCGACAGCTTTATCATGATGGATTCGAATAAGATCCACGAACGCTTACAAGGATTATCTAAACGTTTTAAGCTGGATAGCAGCTTCTTCCTTGTCCTTGACGAGGCACAGATAGCGGCAGCATCTTTGGCAAACGCGTTTGAATCGTATCGGGGGCTGGAGAAAACTCACCCTATTCTGAATCCTCTTATTAAATCGTGGCTTGCCGCTACGTCTTTTCCGATCATCGTGTCAAGTACTGGCCTGTCACTTAACACTATCAACGATACTCTTTCTTCGGCAGTTGGGAAGCCGGCGACCTTTGGAAAGTTTACCAAGATTGGTGCGTTTGATAACCAAGATTCGCAAGAAAATTATATTCGTCGGTATACGCCTCCCACCTTGCTGGACAGCGAGTCTGGGAAGGAATTTCTCACTAGAGCATGGAACTATGCACGTGGGAGGTATGTTATTGTATGCTTGTTCAATATTTATCCACATCTTGCTCAACCCTTCTTCAGACATCGCTTTACTGCGTCATTGTTGACGGAGCTTTTAAGGACATCGTTTCAGGCACCGCACAGAACACTGGACGGTGTTGTCACTGCCATCTCGGATTATGTCCCTACCGATGCACAGCACTCTGTAGACAGAGAGGGAGTAGTGGAAGGTGGCATTAGAGCAATTGTACCACTAGATTTCACAAAAATCATGTCAAGTGTGTTCCATATGACTCATGCTCTTTAATCCAGATCTCACCCGTTCTTAACAGATCCTGAAGTGCTCAGTGATGTCAGCCATGCGCTACATTCATGGCTTGTGCTTCGGATAAGGGTCCCTTTTCCAGACATGAAGCTCGAGCTCATAGAACTGGGGTTTGCCCGATTTGTTAGCGACTCAGAGAGGAGTTACATTGATGAGCCACTAGTTTTGCTTGCAGCAGCACGGGCGTTCAGCGACTCCACGTTTGGACTGGTCAGTTGTATTTGCACACTATTACTGGAATTGCAAGATCGAGGTGATCATTTTGAGGAACTCGTCGCGTATTCCCTTGCTTGTGCGTTTGACGGGAGCAGCTTATGTGACATTATTTCCTTTGGGGAGCATGTTCCGGAATGGGCACAGCAATCTGCTGAACTAGTCTCCGTCAACATGAACGAAGGTGGATTAGTATTTGATCGCTTCCATCTACCAAACTATGAGGGCTCCACAACGATTATTGGTGCGAAGCATAGTACTGTTGATGCAACGTTGAGATGGTTCCAGAACACATCATCTGTGCTCTGTTTTCCTGACAAACTGATGGGACCAGACATTGTTTCATTCATCCGCCTTCACTCTGGCCAAGTCCTGGCACTTGTCATACAATGCAGATTTCGCCGCAAAATGGACAAACAAACTTGGGAGAGTGCAGTTAAGAGCCTTGATCTTTCACAGCTATATGTGCGACAGGTATGAAACTTGGATGTTCAAAAATATTACACAACTGATGTTCTTAAATTGCAGGGTCTTGGTACAGAAAATATTAATTCTGCTAGGCGCACTGTCATCGATTTGTTCAAGCGTTTGGACGTAGGGTCCCATTTTGCAAATGATGATTGGTTCCAAGACAAGTTACCAGTGTTGCGCGTTATCGCATCATACCCTGGTTCACCTTCAAAAAACATCGTGAAAATTCCCCCATCATGCGACTCTTAATATGGACCACTGTTTGCGGCTGTCACACGCGGAA